TATCAATTCACGTTATACGTGAATTTTAGAACTGCCTCCTAATGTAGAGTTAAGAAGCAAGTTCTAATTAACAATGAAGGAGAATGTCGATATTACAAAATTATATATCAACCGAATATAAAAGTCATATAAATCAATGGGGTATATCCAAATATTCAGATCGGTGAACTTATATATATTTTAGATTTACAGTATATACTTAGGTCTATTATCGATAGGCCGACCTCACATCAACGAACGTGCAATAACGGTAATTTGATTTCCCATCCCGGGACTAAAAACAGATAAAATTTTGGTCATTTGTTTCTGATACGTAATTTAAATGGACATAATGTGTTTTGTTTAAAATTACATTATTATAAATGTATATTAGTTTAAAGTAAATTATCATGACGTAAGTCGTGAATAAATAAATTGGTATGAATTTGCACCAGCAATTTCTTATACACTTGATCGTTAGGATCTTCTAAAAAGTTATGATTGAGATAGGTTCCAACTTGAGAAATGCTAGTTGAACCGTTATCAAAATGAGGACACATAGCACCGGAATCCTCAATCGTAAGTAATCTACTTGATAAAGTTTGCGCATAGATATATCCACAACGGCTTTTGTTTGGGTATTATTATCGCGACCCAAATCTGCCGCAAAAATTTTACCCGTCACATGCAAAGGTGTAACCTGTCCGTTTCCTTGGTCATTTTCAACTACATTCATATGTTAATCTAATTTAATTATAAAAGTTTTTTGATTATACAAAGATCTAGCTTCCTTAGCTAGATTAATGTAAAAATTTTTTACGACTTGTGGTTCCTTATACATAACTGTTTTTTGCAATTATTGATAATTGACTCATTGGAGGTAATTTGATGTTTTTATTAAGATATTCTTTTTGTAATGCCGTACGCGATAAAAGAATTTGGGGGTGATTTTATTTTAACGCTTTTAAGTGCGTTTGGTTTTATAACATTTTTGATGAGATCGTTTATCGTTAAATCTGGAGGGAATGTCGGTGTGATATCAGTGCGAACTTTATTAGAATCGTTTCCTCTAAAAGTAGTTTCACTATTCGACCCAGCAGTCTACATCCATATTAAATATATTTTTTTCGTCAATTTTTTTAAAAAATGAGTAAAATATAATTATTATTATTTTTTTTTTTTAACTAAAAAATTTTTAAGGCATTTAAAAATAAAAAAATGTTTGCTTATTTAAGGAATGATCGTATCGTGAGAAAATATCCAATTGATCGTCAAAATCAAAATGTCCTTAAAATGGTATTCTTTACGGATGGAGGTGGAGACCGTTACACAAAATTTTATACTCATGAGGAGAAAA